TAGATCTAAAAACCCTGAACATTGGATCTCAGGTCAGGGTACAAATTACAGCTCAGGCTCCTGTCTGCTCAAGCTGTCGTGAGATATGAAGGTCAGTTAAAAGTCTGATGGCAAAGAATGGCTGTTAACAAGCTTACCTGTCCCATGGTAAGCATAAATTCTATAGCCACAGATTTCAAGAGTGGGTACTTAAAATGAGACACTTGAAGGGACTGAAATACTTGTAAGTGGTCTGATTTTCAGTGGTCCTGACCATCCAGTGTCTGCAATGACAGCTGCTGGGTGCTGGACATCTCTGAAAAATCAGACCACTTAATTAGGTGCTTTTGGACTCCTAACTTTAGGCTCCCACATTTGAAGATGTTAGTCTGTGCTCTCATCTATAGCAGTGTGTTAAGCAAAGATCATTCAGCAGAGCGGCCTCTTCTTCTTTCCCCCTCTTGGCACAACATGGAAGGCAACATAGCATATGCCCTCCAAAGCAGCAAGTGTTTCAGGAAGGGCAATAGCATCATCACTGTCAGTTGCAGCAGCTTTCTTTTCAGCAGGAGAACAGAGCAGACGGACAGCTGGGGGTTTCTGTGAAACATCCAGAGTGAGGCAATAACAAAAGACAGCGCGTGCGCTATTATTGTTGAAGAATGCAGGAAGTCCAAGAAGACAACTGCATAGGTCCACAGTTTGTGAACGGAGAAGCTTTTGTTGTCAGAGTTGGTAGACATCACTGCCCTGCATATCAGTTGCTGACTTCTAAGAGACTGTATGGTGTGAATGATCAGTACTGCTGAGGGGGACTGAGCCACAGAACCAAAGAACCCGTCTCCAATCTGTAAATGATGAAAATGTCATCATCCTGAAATTGTACCTGGAAGACTTCCAGGACTGCACATAAATAACTCCTTTTTGACCTCCGTTCCAGCAGAGAATTAAAGAACAAAGAGACACTGGAAAAACCCAAACTCAGCTCGACTATTGTCCCCCACTGTAGCAAAGTGAGACTAAAGTGACATTTGTATGGGAATGTTAACATACCAGTAACCACTGAAGTCCTGATTCCTGTCATATGACAAGGGTATTAGTTTTATATAACATTAACCCATGTCAGGTGACTGGGACCAGGAAATACAGACAAGTCTCTTTCCAGCATTCCTGTCTGTCACACCTTTATTTCCATGATATCAGAAGAAAACGAAAGCTTTGGTAAAGTGAAGCATATTAAGTCACCGGAACCTCCGTCTGGCTGAGAACTATCGGAGATAGTCGCGCTGCTTCCAAAACTGACAGGAAGCAAGCAACATTGCAGAGAAACCACAGAGAGTGAAACCCTCCATAAAGCTACAAGGGACAGGTCCAGAGGCACTAGAATTTTACATTACACTCCAGTGGGAGCAGGAAGAGGCCTGAGGACTGCTAGACAAAAATCATTTATAAATGACAAAAAGACACAGGAATGTCACTTGGCAAAAGGCACATTTTCTTTACCAAATGGAACTATTGATCACTATGTTAGAGGCCTATACAATAAAGCTATTTGTGGTTGAGCCAACAATCAGGTCAAAGCAATGTTAGTGCAAGAAATTAACTTGGTTTTTCATAGACCAAAGGATATTTGCAGGGCTGGTGAAAAACATGCTTTCCCCAAATGAAAGTGTTAGCAAAAAAGAGAAAAAGAGCTGAAGTGCATCTAATTAAAAATGCATCATGACAGAATCAACAGGCAAATAAAACAGCAGAGACCAGAACGGTTTGTAACAAATACAGAGGCAATCACAACGTGACATGTAAAGGCGTCAGACACGAGGAGTGTGGTGCCAGACATGTAGTAGCAGCAAACATCAGCACACATTTGAAGTAAATACAAGAGTAAAATACATATACGAACATACAGCTAGAAGACAAAGCTATGAGGAAGATGCAGACCAGACGTCTTTGCTGTGTCTCTTAGAAAGCTTGCAAAGTGAGGTTTTCTAACAGGTTGGTTTGTGACATAGGAAATAATATGAGCTCAAGTGAAATTCCAGACAGATACTGCAGCTGAGTGCAAGGTAATCAGAGCAAAATGATTAGTGACCATCTGATGCTAAGGTCAAAAACGTAGCTCATTTCATACAGTGGGCACAAAATAAACCCATGCGGTAGAGTCACAATGGCACATCTCAGGAAGAGTGGATATCACTCAGCAGGGTTTGACATAGTGAACGAAAGGAGCCAAGGAACAGGTGTGTGAAGTAAATATGACTCAGCTACTGCCCCATTTTTGAAACAAAAAAAGTGACTCAACCTTACGAGAGCTTGAGAAAGTAACTCTAGCTCAGGGGTGACCAACCTGGGGCTCCGGAGCCACATGCGGCTCTTCAGAAGTTAATATGCGGCTCCTTGTCTAGGCACCGACTCCGGGGCTGGAGCTACAGGTGCCAACTTTCCAATGTGCCGGGGGGGTGCTCACTGCTCAACCCCCTGCTCTGCCACAGGCCCTGCCCCCACCACCCTTTCCCGCCCCCTCCCCTGAGCCTGCCATGCCCTCGCTCCTCTCCCCCAGAGCCTCCTGCATGCCACGAAACAGCTGATCGGGAGGTGCAGGGAGGGAGAGGGAGGCGCTGATCGGCAGGGCTGCTGGTGGGAGGGAGGCATTGGGGGTTGGGGGAGGGGGCAGCTGATGGGCGCCTGCTGACGTATTACTGCGGCTCTTTGTCAATGTACATTGGTAAATTCTGGCTCCTTCTCAGGCTCAGGTTGGCCACCCCTGCTCTAGAATGGATGGTCAAGAGAACCCGCTCAGGTACCTCCAAGCATAAAAATCTACTGGGACTATCGAGATGAAATTGCTGCATCTGATAGGGTTTGTGCAAAGGACATCATGCCACGTTAGTACGCAGCGTGAAGTATAATCCACAGTGCCCGTGGAGACGTGCTTATACTGAAATATTAGACATGGCGGGATGCTGTAGCTCCTCCAATGCGATCTGCTGTCCCTGAAGCCAACATAGGGCAATGGTCAGCAGTCATGGCTACCATGATAGTAGTCCTGTGATTGGCTATTAAGGGGAGTAGGGCTCAGCCTGGCCTGTGCCTGATCAGCTACCCCTCCACCACAGACATTGGATCCTGATTGGTTAGGGATCATCTGGCCCTGTCCAGTTATAAGTCCCATGCAATGCCTGCAAAGGGTTGTGAGAGCTCAGCTGGATGGAGGGGGGTTGTAGAATGGAGGGCTGGTTCCTCTGGTAGGCCCTGGAGAAGGGACTCCCAAGCATGCCTGGGGAAAGACTAAGGAGGGCTGCATGAGGGAGGCTGGCTCCTGTGCCGGGCTCTGGAAGAAGGGAAATTCCCAGAGTGGGGAGAAGCCCTGAGTCACTGCTCTGTAGGAGAATGGGAAAGAGCGGAGAGCTGAGCCAGGAGGAGAAGTAGACCCTTGTGTTTACATTGCACATGGGGCTAGGGTCTAAATTTGTTACCAGCGCCTCACCAGTGGTGCTGAGGGAGACCATTGCCAGCGTGTGTGTGGCTGAGACAAGGTGAGTAGTGCAGTGGCAAGCCACATATGGGTGTTGTGGAGGGCGACCCTGCCACAGGCCCCCCACAGCTGAAGTGAATTAGAACAGCCCTCAGGCTGGTATAACTTCCACTGGGTGACCTGGATGGTACCACTGTAACTAAGTAGGGGTGCAAAGGCAGCGCAAAGCCATTTTTAGGCACCCCACTTATCTGGATTTACACTGTACACTCTTCAGCCATCGCTGATAACTGAGGCCAATGTATCCAAGTGTGAAATCTGCAGGAACACAGGAAGCAGAATTCAAAAGAACCACTGAAACCACGACTGTCCTGATCATCTGGATCCGAGGTGGACGCAGGTCTACAGCAATTAAGTGGGGAAGATTTCCTCTGAATAGTGGCCAGCTGCTCCATTGATTCTTTGTTGACTGTTCATTGATTCAGCTTACAAGTTGAACTGTTGTTCAACACACCAAGCAGCAATGTCATGACACTTTGCAGGGCTGCTTTGCATCAGTGGAGTGGCAGAAAACAGCCAGTGCTCATACAGGGAGCGAGGGCAGTATGATCAAATCAAACATCTCCTAAACTGCTTTAAACAACAGCTCTGCTGTGCTCTTTGTAATGGGAGGAGAGATTAAGGAGATTAGCGCTATCTAGTTTAGAGAACAGGATGAATAAGAGGCACCATAACAGAGGTATACAAAATAATGAACGGTATAGAGGTCCCTAGGGTGCTGTGATTCACCCTCTCTCATAATGCAAGAAGTAGAAGGTGGCCAATCCAAATGAAAGGAAACAGGCTGAAAACTGATAAAAGGAAATACTTCATAAAGTGTAACTTAACCTGTGGGACTCAATGCCACAAGATGTTATTGAAGCTGACAGATTATTTATATTAGTAATAAGATTATTTACAGTTACACTAAAGAAATACATGTAAGTGATGCTGTGTTGCCAAATAGATAATGCCCTGGACTAGGATTCAGGAGATCCGTGACTTGCCTGCTATGTGACCTTGAGCAGATCACTTCTTATCCCTGGGCCTCAGTTTCCCCATCTGTAATATGGGGCTAGTGATACCTCCTTTGTAAATCTGCTGTAGAAAACCATGACATGTTGTTTTATTAACCAAGATAAAAAATTTGCCTAAATTATATCATAATCCAATCTTTAGTTGCCTGGTTTTAGGAAGAAACTTTATTATATGGGCATGGTAGCATGTAATTGTCCTCAGAAGCATTGGTACGGAGCACTTTCAGAGACAGGGTACTGGACTACATGGACCATTGCTCTGATCAGGTTTTCCCTTGCACTGGATGGTGTGTACAAATAAAGAGGTGATCACTGCAGCGCTGCTTTCGCACAGTACAGAAACTGGTGGACGTTTGGGTTTACTTGGAATTTTTAATAGTTGGCCACTCTTCACAGAAGAGACTCTTGTGCTGGCCTGCAGAGAACACTGCACAAAGACTGAAGATCATATCTGACAACCTCATCCCTACCTGAAAAGCCATGGAGTTAGCTGCAGCCAGGAACATCCTCAAAGGCAGCTTGGCTTTGTAGGACCTATGACTCCATAAACGATGTGCACCAGCTGTCACCCCCAGAGCCGTCATTAGGAAACACAAATATGCTGAAAGACAGAAATATATATAAATAGTGCATATCAAGGGCCTGTTTTTATTCTTTTCCTTTGTTAAAAAAAATTCCTTCTGCTGTCTAGTCAACCCTACAGGGAGATAGTGTCTCCTAGTGGAGAGGGCACTGGACTGGGAGTCAGGACAACTGGGTTTTCCTCCCAGCTCTGCCAGGTACCTGCTGTGTGACCTGGAGCAAGTCATGCCACCTGTGTCTCTTCTCCCACCCTTTGTCCACATATAATCTAAACTCTTCTGGGCAGGGACCGTCCACACTGCCTAGCACAAGCAGCTGACGACGTTGGTTGGGACCTCTAGATGCTACTGTAATATAAATGGCATCTAAGAAAAGTGGATTAGTCTGGTGCATTCTGTACTGCACCAGAGGAGCCATTAACTTCCCTTCGTGATGTTATGTCGGAAGGGAGGCAGCCACTTTTTTGACGGGTGCCATCCTCTGTACCCTTTCCACGTCTTTTGTCGAGTCTAATTTGTCAGCTAATTGAACAGGTGCCATTCATACCTCTGTAGATAAAGGTTCTGTCAGAGTTCCCATTATAAAACCCACTATACTCAAGGCTTTATAACTTGGCAATAAAAATCCACTCTCTGCTGAAGCTGGACATTCAAGGACTCTTAGCTTGCAGGCATTTTTTTCTCCCCCTTCAAAACTCTTCTGTATGCATTTTCCACTTCTGGCCCAGGCAGCAACAAAAAGGTCAGTTTTAAAGTTTGGGGTTTTTTTTAAGCATCTGAAACAAAAATTAACTTCAATGTTTTTCCTTTTTTTCTGGGTTAGGGGATTTTTTATTTGCCTCTGGGCCTAGTCAAACTCTGTTTTCTTATAATTTCCATTATGGAAGGAGCATATGGCATTTCCCCACCCATCCTTTGGCTATTTCAATTATAAACTCTTTGGGCAGAGACTATCCACCTAGCACAATGGGGCCCTGATCTTTATTATGGTCTCTAGATGATACTACCATACAAACAACGATAAAAGTAGGAATAAGGCGAGTGCTGAATAAAAATACATCCCAGCCCTGCCAGTCCTGGAACCAAGAGACCAGCTTGCACACTTAACCATTAACATACTGCCTTAAATCACCACCGTTCTCTTCCTTTCTCCCTGAGGGGTCAGGCTTAAAGTTAGGCACATAAGTACAGTTGTCAGTGTTTACAAAAATACTTACGTGCTCAGCACCTAGCAGGATTGAGCCAAAAGCAGCACAGGCTCTATGAGTTATAGAAGAGCCCTCACTCATCATCTTTTCTTCCTTTTTATTTATTTTTTTTAATTTAACAAATGTTTCATGTATTTGTGACAAGAAAGCTGCTGCTGTGTACAATATATACGCTAATGGACCACAGCAGCAGATTTGTTTTCCAGGTGACAAGAAACATACAAAAAATTTTCATCTGAAATTCCTAATTTCAAAAAGTTAATTTAATTTACAAAAGCACAGTTGTACTCAGCTGAAGTCACTTTTTAATAATTGTGTGCAGTGACTATTTCAGACTTCCGAACCAGGAAAGGGCCCTTTCTTGTGTCAGGTTTCAGAGTAACAGCCGTGTTAGTCTGTATTCGCAAAAAGAAAAGGAGTACTTGTGGCACCTTAGAGACTAACCAATTTATTTGAGCATAAGCTTTCGTGAGCTACAGCTCACTTCATCGGATGCAAAGCTCACGAAAGCTTATGCTCAAATAAATTGGTTAGTCTCTAAGGTGCCACAAGTACTCTTTTTCTTGTGTCAGTTTGAGTCATTCACTCATTTGTCTCCTGATGCCATATGTTTTGATCATCTTGTTATTATCCCCAGTATATCTGAATCCATTTGTAATAAATACTGCATAGATTTGGTTGTTTTGTTTTACAACAAAAGAGAAAAGGCTGTAAGAATAATAATACAGCTGTGCTGCTCATCTTCTGGGAGGAAGCTGGGGAAAAGGCAATTATATACAATCCATACAAATTGGACCAGTGTTCAAAAGCAAAATCCACTTAAACCTTCAAAATTCAAAACTACCCTACTGTCACAATCTATGGCATTTCTGCTCTCTTAAACAGGAGGCACTTATTTCACAAAACAATTTCAAAAGTGTAAACTCAAACAAGCTTCCACACAGCTCCAGGTCCAGCACTGTCTGTGTTGTTTAGCAAGGACCTCACCGTGCTGGGAATACATACGTGTATGGTGACTATATATGCCTGTTTCAGTCTCTGAATAATTTTATGCAAACAAAAAGAAAACAGATTCCATCTGCACGAGATGTTTTGTATTATTAAGAATTTTAATTTTAATTTGCCCTTTTAACAGAGAATGTTAGATGTCAGTATGTCATGCATTTCTTCTCACCTGGAGTAAACACACATGGCTGAGGTTTCCTGTCTATTTGTGTTTATATCATATCCAGCAGCAACCCCTGCAGTGTGGTTGCAAGGAAATGACCTGAAATATTGGTGAAATTGATTAACTGCAAAACATCTACAGTTCCAAACTGCAAAGGTTATGACACAACCTGAAAAAGATTGCAAAAGTATCTATTAACTCTTGTCATGGAGTCCCCGGGTGATGCTCTGGAACTGCTCCCTATGAAGCCAGTCAGGACTCTGGGGAAGTCTCCTTTCTGTGAGCAGACTGTCTTCAGGACACATAGCTCACACAACTTCCACCTTCCTGGGTCTGACCTCGGAGCATTCAGCATCCTCTGCCCCTCCATGCGCTTCCCACAGTGAGTCCGCCCAGGCGGGGTCCTGGGGAAGCCAGAGGGTCCTGCACCCCAACTTTGCAGTCAGACGTGACTCTCAGCCAGCCAGTAAAACAGGAGGTTTATTAGATGACAGGAACATGGTCTAAAACAGAGCTTGTAGGTACAGAGAACAGGACCCCTCAGCTGGGTCCATTTTGTGGGGGGCAGTGAGCCAGACAACCAAGTCTGCACTTCACTCCATGTCCCCAGCCAGCCCCAAACTGAAACTCTCTCCAGCCTCTCCTCCTCTGGGCTTTGTCCCTTTCCCGGTCCAGGGGGTCACCAGATTCCTTTGTTCTCCATCCCTTTAGCTCTCACCTTGCAGGAGGGAAGGGCAGGCCATCAGTTGCCAGGAAACAGGGTGATGGCCATTCTCTGTGTCCAGACCCCTGCACACACCTGCCCTCTAGGGCTCTGCAATGATAATACACCCTTATCCCACCACCTAGATACGTAAGAACTGCATAGGGGAAACTGAGGCACCCCCACACTATTCAGAGGAAACATTAAGAACAGTCCCGCTTTGTCACAACTCTATAATCACAGTGGGTAAAACTGTAACATCAAAAGTTGTGACACTACTCAGGACTCTGGGGCTGTAAGTCATCTTGTTGCCACCTGCCTCCAGTGCAAGATTGTCTTGCCTTTGCCAGGTGGGTGTTAACTCCCTAACACAACCAGCCTGTCAGTCACTCAGGCTGTACCAGCCCAATCTTTGCCCTGCAGGTTGACCATAGATGCATCCCGGTCCCTTCAAAGTGTCTCTTTGTGATGTCCAGTGTCTTTCCCCCACCTAGGACATACTGCATCTGTTTTTTGTCTTTATTCACAGACATGCCACTCCCTCACTGTTGAATCATTCCTTTTCACATCCAAGTGGTTTTGATGTTTATAGCTTACCTTTAATGGCTTTCCATTGACTTTTTGGGTTGTTGGAATGGGGGGACGATTGAGCAACACATTACATAATCGGCTAGCCAAGGAGGGTTAACAATTCCCTCCTGCTTGAATGGGCCATTACCAAGACATGATTCCCTAGTGACTCACTTTCACTCCAAGACCCTAAGGACATGACTGTCAATACTGTTACATTAGTCCTTAAATATTACACACATTTCACAAAGATTATGAGTATTGATGAGTCACAGGCTTTCAGTAGAGACCAAACATGCTACCCTTGATGGATAACTATCATGAAAGTGGTATATTAGGTGGAGTGAGTTTGTCAGGTCTGAGATAGGAGCTGCTTGTTAAGAACTCTGAACCCTTTGCCAGTTGGCACGAATGGGCCTGAGTCATGAGAGGAAAATGCAATAAAAACTTAATTTGCCAAAATGTTTGCAGATTCTTGTGCTGATTTTCACCCAGGCAGCCCCACTGAAGTCAAAGGACCAAACAGACTTCAGTGGTATCACACCAACAATGGATTTAGCCCAATTTATTTGCCCATTGTGAGTCACGATCATACTGAATTTGGCCCTAAATTAGTTCCATTTTCCATGTTCCAAACCAACATAAGAGAAAGCAAGCAGAGTTTTTGGGAGGAGGGGGAAAGTTGGCGGGGAGGAGGGGATGTTGAACATTGGAGGATAAAATGTGGGGAGCGTTGAGGACTGGACTATGATATTGAGACAATGGCACCCTAGCTAGCTTTCAAACATCCTCTAATGGGGCCTAACCCAAAGTCAACTGAAAAACTCCCCATAGACGGGCTTTGGATCAGGTCCGTGACATGTAAAGCTCTCTCTGGGCAGCAGCAGTCGATAATACCTCAATTGTCTTCTAGACTACAGGGCAATCCTGGATGCATGCTTCTCCTCATCTAGCCTGTGCTCGCTCCGTATGATCCATTGAGGACCAACACTTGTTCAGTGGCCTCTTACCAAGGTTTAGTGGGCGCTGTTTGCAGCACTGGTTTGGACCTCTGAGATGGGGTGGCTGCTGCTGCGGTGGCTCAGGGCTCTTTGAAGGCCCTGATTCTGCAAGGTTCTTAAGCATGTGCCTATCTTTAAGGCATTAGCAGTTCTGTTGGCTTCAACACTTAAACTAGGGATCACCCAATGAAATTAATAGGCAGCAGGTTTAAAACAAACAAGAGGAAGTATTTTTTCCACACAACACACAGTCAGCCTATGGAACTCCTTGCCAGAGGATGTTGTGAAGACCAAGACTATAACAGGGTTCAAAAAAGAACTAGATAAGTTCATGGAGGATAGGTCCATCAATGGCTATTAGCCAGGATGG